CATTCATCTCATCGTCATCATCTTCATTGCAATCACCAAAGTGTTTTAGAGCATATAAAGTGTTTATAAGAAAGTGGGAAAGGTTAACAGAGTGTGGGAAGGGTTGATAAAGCCGTAAATATATATAAATTCTAGAATTGTGCCACTCAATGTGGCTGCATGTTCGAGTAGCTCTGTTACTTTCATTCTGAGATGTTGCTTTTGAGGGCTTTGGTTCCTCTTTTTTCTGGATGTGAATCGCTTTTTTTGGATGATCGTTTCCTCTGGTGTCGGATGCTGTGCAGCTGGAAGGATTTTTACAGAAATATCTTTGCTTTTGGACATTTGTTATGATGTGTAACCATAACAACAAGGTTGTTTTTTTTACAACTGGGAGCAGCTGATTAACATCTCCAAAGCTCAAATAATATCTCAACTACAACCCCAAATCCTAAATGAGTTGAAAAGGAGGCGTCGTGGATGCAGAGCAGGAGCAAAGAAGAGGGAGAAAGAGAGAAGAATGCAGTTTAAACCATCTCTTTCATCGATCATGATGGGCAATGTGAGATCACTGGGAAACAAGTTGGATGAACTTCAAGCCCTAACAAGGACCCATCCAGAGTATCGGGAATGCAGTGTTATGTGTTTCACTGAGACATGGCTGCAGGATCATATCCCCGACTCAAGCGTTTCTCTGCCAGGCTTTCTGACCATACGAGCAGATAGAGATTTAAAGAGGAGTGGCAAAAGGAAAGGAGGTGGGTTGGCAGTGCTTGTGAACAACAGATGGTGTAATCCTGGACATGTTACTGTCAAGTGTCATCTCTGCAGTCCAGATATTGAACTGGTAGCACTAAGTTGTCGTCCATATTATTTGCCAAGAGAGTTCACCAGTGTTATTTTGGCAACTGTTTACATTCAACCCAATGCTGTTGCCGAGACTGTGTGTGATGTCATCAGCTCCAAGGTTGCTAAGCTACAGACACAACACCCTACTGCATTTTTTGCAACATCTGGGGATTTTAATCATGCCTCTCGCTCTCTGCTACACTTCCGACAGTCCAACAATTTGTCAGCTGCTCTACCAGAGAAAACAAAACGCTGGACTTGTTTTATGCAAATGTCAAGGATTCATACATCGCTAAAGCAAGACCCCCTCTTGGCAAATCAGATCACAATCTTGTGTTTCTCTGCTCAAAATATAAACCCCTTGTTCAGAGGCAACCTGCAATAAAGAGAACAGTGAGAAAATGGTCAACGGAAGCTGAAGAAGCCCTGCGGGGTTGTTTTGAGGCTACAGACTGGGATGCACTGTGCCAGCCACATGGAGAGGACATCAATGCCATGACTGAGTGTGTGACCGACTATATAAACTTCTGAGTAAACAACACCATCCCCACCAGAACAGTGAGATGCTTCCCCAGTAACTAACCCTGGATCACCACTGACCTGAAGGAACTGCTAAACCAGAAAAAAAGAGCCTTCAGGGAGGGAGACAGGGAATTATTGAGGAGTACATAGAAGCAACTAAAAGTCAAGATAAGAAACAGCAAGGATGTGTACAAGAAGAAGCTGGAGAGCAAGCTCCAGCAGAACAATATCAGAGAGGTGTGGTCAGGGATAAAACAGATCACATGCTTCAAGCAGAAGGAGGATCAGAAGGATGGAAGCCTGGACAGAGCCAATGAACTGAACCCATTCTTCAATAGGTTTAGTTCAGGAATAAGCTCAGCATCTTCTCTTGCCCATAGCCAAACAGATATACCACCCATACCATCCATTGATCCAAGGATGTGTCACACCTCAAATACTGTGTCTACCATCTCACTCATGGACCCTTCTTCTACTTATTGGTCTTCAACCAAATTAGAAGATGCTGATACCTCCTTTGCCTCCCCCCTCTGCATCTCCAGAAGTCAGGTGAGGAAGCAGCTGGAGAGACTGAACTGGAATAAGGCTGCAGGTCCAGATAGTGTCAGTCCCAGAGTCCTGAAGGTCTGTGCAGAGCAGCTCTGTGGGGTTCTGCAACACCTCTTCAACCTTAGCCTGACCCAGGAGAAGGTTCCAGTGTTGTGGAAAACATCCTGTCTTGTTCCAGTGCCAAAGAATCCTCACCCATCAGTCCTCAATGACTATAGACCTGTTGCCCTGACATCCCACATCATCAAGGTCCTAGAGAGACTTCTGCTGACCCACTTGACTAAACAAACAAGCACATATCAGGACCCACTGCAGTTTGCTTATCAGCGTAGACTTGGAGTTGAAGATGCCATCATACACCTGCTTCAGCAAACTCACTGTCATCTAGAAAAGACAGAGAGCTCTGTGAGAGTCATGTTCTTTGATTTCTCCAGTGCATTTAACACAATCCAGCCTGATCTGCTTTGTCAGAAACTCCAGAAGACTCAGGTGGAGGCTTCAACAATCACCTGGATCAAAGACTACCTGACAAACAGACCACAGTTTGTGAGACTGGAAAAACGTCAGCTGCTAGAGATAAATCTGACAAAGTTAAAGTCTGACTCTGAGTTCAATGGGAAATTTGTTTTACAAATTAAAGGCAAAGACATGAGCAAAATGTTTGCCCCTGCTTATTCAGATATATTTATGGAGAAGTTGGAAACGCCAGTGTTAAAAAAGTGTGAAACGAAACCTTTACATTACTACAGGTACTTGAACGATATTTGGGGAGTCTGAACCTACTCAGAGAGGGACTTTGAATGGTAAATGGACTGTATTTATATACAGTGATCTCTCACCTATCACGGGGGTTACGTTCCAGAGACCCCCGCAGTAAGTGAAAATCTGCAAAGTAGTGGCGTTATCTATATCTTGTGTGAGTCTTTGTGTATGCTCCTTTGTACTGAAACTCTGGCATTCATCCATCCATCCATTATCTTTTACCTGCTTCTTCCATTTTGGGTCACGGGGTTCGCCAGTGCCCATGTCCAGCAATCACTGTGCGAGGGGTGGGGTACACCCTAGACAGGTCTCCAGTCCATCACAGGGACACATAGAGACAAACGAGACAAACAACCATTCACTCTCTCACTCACACCTAGGGACAATTTAGAGTTACCAATCAGCCTAACATGCATGTTTTTGGTCTGTGGGAGGAAACTGGAGTACCTGGAGAAAACCCACACATGCACGGAGAGAACATACAAACTCCACCCAGAAAGGCCCACGGACCAGGATTTGAACCGGGGACCTCATCTTTGGTATCAATATTTGTATATAGACTATACATCTATCAATCAACCTTTATTTATACAGGTAAATCCCATTGAGCCTCTATAGTGAACAGAAGAGCAGTTTAGGTTTTTTTATTTTATTAATAAAATCATATGTATCTTTATAATTGATAATCTATGTATTCAGCTGCAGAATATGTTTCACTGATACTAAATGTCTCCCAGGAGGAATTTTGTTTGGTCTGCTCTATTTTTTGGCTCCTTGGGGATCTTAGGGAGCATATAAAATACTCTAGCTCTCAGTTCTGTTGAACCCAATCGGTACTTTTTCTGTTTTGCATTAATTAATTTTTTATTACATAAATCATTGATTACGTTATTAATGATTACGTTATTAATAATAGGGATAGTATAAGTATATGTAGACTTGGATAATTGTAAATAATAATTTGTCATAAAGGTGTCTGTAACCCCCCCACAGGTATTGTTCTCTGTCTTTTATCATGACAGAGCATCTGTTATCTGCTGGTTTGATTATAATGTTTTTGTTATGTGTCAATTAGTTAAAGGTTATAATTTCCTCTCTATTTAGGTGGAGCTCGGTTCTACAGATTTTGACGTTCTCTTCCATGTATTCTGAGTCATTATAGATTAAATTTTAGACCTGGGGCAGCAGACTGCTCAGTGCAAGAGACCAATCAGACTCCTGAGTAAAAGGGGAACCCCCGTACTGTTTTAATTTTATAATACAAAACTAATTTAAGTCCAGTTTGCTTTGGAATTGAATGTTTCTATTACTCCCCTTGGCGGGGACAAAAGTTAGACCTGCTTTTGTCAGCTGAAATGTTTTGGACAGATTCACAACAGTACTGCCCCCCTTCTGTAGAAACAGGCTTCTGGGGACATCTATATTACATGCTTTCACCGTGCTGATGCTGTTGATGGAGCAGGTTCAGCCATCGCAGTGGCAGCAGGTGGTGCAACTACGACAAGATTCGCTGTGAGCCTGGTCTTGCTGTTGGACCTTATTCTGCACTGGATGTGGGAAGGGTTGGTCTCTGTCACCTGACCTAGTGGTGTTAGGGAGAATGTGTCCCCCTCACGCTGTTGCCTCGTCAATTCCAGCTCTTCTGAGATGAGTTCTGCAATTGTGTCATCCTCCAGTTCGCAATCCTTTTAGCGAACCCTGCGCTGGAGTGTGTTTAGTCGTCGAAGGGAGTAACTGCACACCGAGTAACTTGGCAATGAGTCCTCGTGACTCAATGAGAGTAACCTGTATAAATAAAGGTTGAAAAAACGGTTCTTTTACTTCAATACATTACTAGAAGCTATAAAAAATCAGGAATTTTTCTAAAAAGTTTAACTATTTTAATTATATATATATATATATATATATATATTTATTTATTTCCAAAGATGATGCAATAAAATCATGTTAAAAAAGGGGGCGTGCATTATTTGACTACTCTATTAAAACTATTCAACATTAATTTGATTGCACAAGGTTACATGAAATTTAACCTACAAAAAAAAATAAAAATCTATATAATTTCACAAGTTTTAGTTATCAAATAAAAGATATGATAAAATATTTTACTATTATTTAATGTTTCTTATTTTTCCCATCTAGTAAAACAAGTCCACTTTGTTTTTTTGTCAAAAAATATGAGCTGTATTGCAATCATTTTTAAAAATTAGTGTGTCCTATTTTTTTTTTTTTTTTTTGTGCAATACAACTGAGTTAGCTTTTGTTCACAAGTTTATCTAACATGGAGGATATTTTTAGTTTTCGTTTTTCATGCGTCTTTGGTTCGATAATTTGTTGACAGTCCCTAAGCGAACCTGCTGTTTATACGGAGGGGAGCGCACGGAACCAGCACCGGGTCAAACGGCAATAAAACAAAAACACACCTAAAACTAACTTCACCACGGTGTTTTAGGAGGAGGGAGCTTACCGAACCAGCACCGGGTCGAACTTCACCGCGGTGGTGTGGGAGGTGCTAACAGCGTTAGCTTTGTGTGCTAGCCACGTCTGGGAGCTACATGTGAGCGGAAACACGTTGGATCAGTCCGGAGATCACAAGATGGCAACAGAAGCAAAACGTGTAAAGGTAAAAAGTTAAATTTGCCTAACAAAATGAGATTGTCTGATTGAAAACGTGTTTCTTGACTGGTTGTTGTGTTTTCGAGTGACGTCATCAAACCGGAAGTTGGCCATGCTGGCTGTGTCAGTGGCTACCACGTGTTGTCAAGGGGATGTTACTCAAAAACGTGGCCCTTTACTGTGTTTTATTTATTTATTTAGTTTGGCGCTGTCAATATATATATATATATATATATATATATTTTATTATTATTTTTTTTTAACAAAGCCTAAAAATCCTTCAGCTTTTTTTTAATGTCAGATTTTTGGGAAATGCTCAGTATCTTTACTACTCTCGTGTTCCTGAGGGGAAAAATCGTCCAAATGTAAATCCCTTCATTCAACCTTTATTTCTTCAGGTAAATCCCATTGAGCCTCGAGGACTCATTTACAAGAGAGACCTGATAAATACCTTGTATATACAACTTTTAATTAGATTTTTATCAGATCATAAAATAATGCATTCCTCACTGTAGTGTTTTTCTTTTTACCTCTATCTCTAAACTTTTGATTTTTATATTGGCCTACTTTGCTTTTACATTTGAGCGCCTCTGTAAAAATCACATGGGTCGCCTCAACTTGGCTGCAGAGTCCCGCTTCTCATCGTGTGTGAAACGTTTGTTTTAGTTTGGATGTAAAGGGCAAAAGCACACTTGCATGGTGCACAAGTAAACATTTAGTATGAAAAATGTGTTTCACATGCATGCAGGCTGCAGAATCAGATGGCTAAGAACAGCAGACTGTTTGTTTATCCCAGAGAAGGACGTCATTAGCTGGTGCATTGTACTCCCACAGCTTGCTAGTATATCTGGGTCAGTAAGAGCAAAAACCAAAACATTAACTAGTGTGCATGTGTAGAATTTAAATAATATAGAAATAAAAGCATAAAATAATAACCTCCATGTCCGACCACTGAGTGACCTTTGTAAGTTGAAACCAAGGCCTCTGGATCTGGAGGGTCTTCACAAAACTCTGGACTGGAATTTATTATAAATTGTCCAAAAATCACTTTGGGCGTACTAATGGGACAAAATGCCTTTTATTCAAAAATTGCCATAAAATAAACATTTCTGCAATTTAAAGAAAAAACTGAAATTTGGAGTTTTTTTAGTTTTTTTTTTTTTTTAAACCAAAGGCACTAAAAGAGTTAATATTTACATTTTATATTTTTATTTCAGGCTGAGATGGGTCTGAAATACAGTTACTTGTAGGGAAAATATTTATAAATTGTAATTTTAAGGAAAAAAGGGAAGAACATGAACGATCATAAAGTTAAGAGTTAAATCAGAATTTCGAAGGGAAAACTGAGCAACATCTGAATTTCTTTTGCTTATTTTGTGTCAGATATGGTAATTTTTTTTAATAGATTAAACTAAATTTGTGCATTACAGTAAGAATTTGACTGCGTATACCAGGGGTGTCGAATCCTGGTCCTCGAGGGCCACTGTCCTGGATGTTTTACTTGTTTTTCTGCTCCATCACACCTGATTCAGTAACTGATGTGCCTCTTCAAGTTCTGCTGAAGCCTGTTAACCACCCAATCATTTAAATCAGGTGTGTTGGAGCAGAAAATTCTCTAAAACATGTAGGATAGTGGCCCTCAAAGACCAGGATTAAATACCCCTGGTTTAGACAGATAATGATCCAGACACTTGTCACCAAATGGCGTGCACTCTCTCTGGTCCACCAGCAACACATCTGCTTTATGTAAGCCTAACCCTGTGTGAGGAGCTGGTGAAAACACCATATTGTTCACAATGTCTGTCACTGCTGACAGAAGCTTTTCATACGCATAGTTTACTGAGCTTCTTTGGGTTTGCCACCAATTATTAGCAGTTTCTCTAAATACCGCTCTTTTGCTGCAGGTTCAAGATCGTCTACATACTTTTTAGAAGCTTCTGCCATCTTTGCAGAAGCTTTAGTCCCAGGTAACATAGTGTTTTTGAGGAAAATTACTCGAGTTTCAATTGTTAAACGTTATTTGTTTACAGCGCAAGTTTCTCCTTATTGGTGGCACTTCCGGTACTCTGCGCTTTTCATGAAGTTGGTGCAACAAGTCTATAGTTTTGGGTAACGGTAGCTGCTAACTTTTGCCTCTAATTTTTCTAGTATAGAGTTTACATGTTTGTTGTCAATATTTCTTCCAATAACTTTTTCAGTTGCTGAATAAAGTCATTGTTAGAAGGCATTCTGGCTGTCGGACTGATGGTCTGTTGGTCTGTTGGACTGATGGTCTGTTGGTCTGATGGACTGATGGTCTGTTGGTCTGATGGTCTGTTGGTCTGATGGTCTGTTGGACTGATGGTCTGTTGGTCTG